GCCTCCCTGCACAGGGCGGGCGTGCTTGCAGGGGGCGGGGCTGCTGCCGTTCCGCTTGGCCCGAAAAGAAGAAATATTTGTGAGCCGAGGCAGCCGCATCCTCTCTTAGCGCCGGGGCGGCACTGCTCCTGCCGCCACGGAAGCGCTTTTGCTGGTTTACGGGTCCCTCAAGCCACGCAGAGTGACAGAGGTGGAACCCACGGGCGTCGACGACTTCTCTGGCTGGGAAGCGGCACGCGGCTCGGACCACATAGCGAAGCTATCGAACACGTTCCTGCTTCCCGAGAAGCAGCCGGGAAAGGTAACGCGACTGCCTTGCGTAGTCGCAGCAACACAGCTAACGCCAACATAAGGGTGAAAGACTGACTCCCGCAGCAGGCAGGAGTCATAACCACCGAGCATGACAGCTTGGAAACCGTTCCTTTTCAGATAGCTCTTACTTATACAAGGATTTTGACAAAGCTGAGGCACAACAGGAACGGAATCACAGAATCATGGAACCGTTTAGGTTGGAAAAGAGCTTTCAGGTCATCGAGTCCAACCGTTAACCCAGCGCTGCCAAGTCCACCACTAAACCGCGTCCCTAAGCACCACCTCTACACGGGATGGGGTCTCAGCCACTTCCCTCGGCAGCCTGTTCCAGCGCCTGACAACCCTTTCGGTGAACAAGCTTAAAACACTAGCCTAAAACCGCTGGTAATTCCAAAACTCTTTTGCAGGCAAATTTTTCTTCAAATGTTTTTCCAAAACAGGCACAAAAAGACAGGGAAACCCATTTGTTTCCTCTCGCATTGCTGTTTTTTCCTAGTTCCTCACATCTACAGCCGCCTTTGGATTGTTGTTTACCCCTGCCCTCAACATCAGCCAGATCAGCACAGCCTCGTCCTTCATTTCTTTCTTTCGTTCACTCCCAGACTACCTGCAGCTCTGCTGGGGGGCTGCTGCCATGTGCTGAACTGCCGGCCCTGGGGGCGGAGAGGTCGCCCCTGGTGCGGAGCCCCTTTGTAAGCCTCTCTCGCGCCCAGTGCGTCCCTCTTTCTTTCTAACGCTTCTGTGCCAAGCATGGCAAGAGAAAAAGGAACCTGAAAAGACAGGTGGTGTGCCTTCGAATGCCAGGGGATTGGAAAAGCTGCATCTCACCTGTTTTCTTGATGTGCCAGCTCGTTGTGCCGCTTGTTGGCCGACGGGCACAGCAGCTACAGCTGGAGAAGCCTCGACTCCCCCATTCCCACAGTCAGAGGCACACGCTGGGCACGACCACCATCGTTCTCTGGGGCCTGCTCCTGCTGCTCTGGCCCCGCTGCGCGGGGACCGGTGTTTCATCTCAGCTCTTTGCAGGGCTGAGCGTCGCACTTCGCAACGAGATGTACGGGAAATAGCACAAATAGCACGCTCTAACCTTAAAAGAACAGACGACGACAGAAATTGACAGATTAGTAAATACGACTAACACCTGTAGGCAGCACATGCTTCCCAAAGCTTTATGGCAACAGCAAATAAGACAAACGGAAAAGATTAAAGGTGAGAGGATTCAGGAGCCAAAAGCGATCTGGCTTTTCTCAAGCAGAGCTCGGAAAGTCAGTGTAGCGTCAAACGGGTCACTAGATGTGCTTGTTAGTCACATAGTTATACAGAATAGAGCCAACTTCAGATGCAATTAGCGTATTTTACTGTCCTTATGTATAGCCGAATAATTTCCTATTATCAGAATACCTTATACAAGTTAATGAAATTTTATGTTCCTGACAATACAAGAACAGTTCTCCAGTGAGAGCGTGTACCAGTGGCAGAAAATCAGAGTTCAGCCCGGAATTCCCAGGTACAGACACCAAAACATTCCTCAAATATTTATCATTGAATTTTGCGACAATTTTCTTCTGTAGTCAGTTCCTTACCTGCCCGTGAAGTGACATTATTTTTCATTTAGCTTTCTTTTCTCCCCATTTATTTTTCTCCCATGCTCTTCTCTCTCACTACCATTTTTCCCATATTTTGCGTTACAGCAACACATGGATCCCGTAGGTCACGTCTGTACAGTAGCAGTCATTTCCTTGGCGTAGTAGGTGTTTGCAAGTGAAATCACTTGTGTCTATTGCTTTGGAGTGGGTTCCCTGAGCCTCTGTCATTCCCACGCCACATCTGAGGGCCAAGCTCACGGCCTGGGAGATATTTCCAGCCTATGGTTCCCCGTAGCCACATCCTGCACTGTCTCTCTGACCCAAGAGGTTCTCCAGCATCACTGTCACCTACAGACTCACAGTACCTTATTTTGCACAGTACTTCTGCTTTGCTCACTGGGTAGTTGGGGCTCAGGGGGACGGCCCTTAAAGGAAGTCCCTGATGCTGAGCGCTCCACCCTCCAGTTCTAGCTGAGCGAAAACATCTTCCTAACCTCTCTGTCTCTCTGTCTGGGGCACAGCGGTACCCCACTTCTTGCCTCACCCCACAGCCCCAGCAGCGCAGGGCCTCGGGACAGCCAAGCCATGCCGGACAGGGCTCACTCGGTCTGTACTCCCCCCACAAGGTGAGGGACACGAGGCACAGCGCAAGCTCCCTGTGCCCTCCCTCCGGCTTTCCCGCTCTATGTCCTCTCACTTTTGGGAGGAGGGGTGCCCAGAGGCTGGTGCATCGGGTGGGCATACACAGGTGCACACAAACGTCCTCGGGGCAGGGGAGGACGACGACATCCTCGGGGCAGCAGGTCCCCCGTCAAGGCAGGATCACCAGGCTCCCGCTAATAAGCATAAGGAACGGGTGAAATCAAATGGCGCTCACCAGAACAACGCCACCTCCTTCTTCACCAGTCCAAGTCCCACCAGACTCCTTGCTGGTATGGAGGCTTTGGTGCAGCTGTGCCCAGACAAGAGGAGGACGGGCACGGCCCTTGTCGAACTGCCTCAGCTCCTCACAGAGGAAAAGCTTTCTGCCAAAATGCCAGCTACGATGCCACCCTATCCTGCTGATCCAGGCTGGGGCTTTCACACCGTGAATCTGCTGCTGTGACGTTACTGGGGCAAAACGCCCATTTCCCTGAGCAGAGGAAATCTCGATTTCCCATCTTTATTATGGGCAAGACAAGCGCTGCAGGAAGGCGTGTAATCAAGGGGCTTCACTGTGTGTGATATAGCAGACCAGCCTCTGCTAGGTAGCGCCCTTCCCTAGACCTGCAGAGCAGCCGCCGAGGCCATGCTTTCCTGTGCAAGCCACTGCACGCCCCCCTGAGCCAAGGCAAGGGGTGAAGCAGCGGGAGAAGGAGCAGAAGACGTCCGCAGGTCACTGAGGTTAAAGCAGCCAGGAGGAGCCCAAAGCGGAGGGCGATGGTCACACAGACTAGATCCATACATTTCATCTCGGGTATCTTCAAAATCTCGCACAGCTCTAGAGAGATGCCCGGATCCGGGGAGATTTCTAGTAAAGGGGTCCGGTCCCTTGGCGCAGAGCTTTCCAAAGCCTTTCGGACCACCTAGCACAAGGACGGCCGTGGGCAAGAGCCCTGGAGGTTTCCAGGGAAGACCTATAAACAGTTCTGGATCTTCTCTAGTACTGACCAAAGGAACATGGATTCTTCAAACTGTACTTTAAAAATCAACTTACAGCACTAAAAAAAAAAAAAAAAAAGATGGTAACGCTAGATGCTAATCTTCATGTCAATTAGGTCACTCTATGCCTGGAGCTCATTTGCCTTGCAAATACTCTATTGTTACATGCTGGGTCCCTCCCTACTCACTTAAATGACTAACTCCACCCCAAAAAAGAAGAACTTTTGCTGAAACTGCTGGAGGGGAGACAGATCCTGCCCCTGAAACCATGGGGCCTGTCAGCTACTCATCAGAGACCTATGACTTGGTGAGTCAGGCCTGGCTTTGCTTGTTTGAGAGGATAATGGGGAGAGCAGGTAGAGCTAGGGTGGACTGAAAGACCTCGTTTCTGTCTGTCCGTCTTCTCACCCTCCTGTTGGCAGAGGGAGAGCTTGGTTGATTTCTTACGCCGGCGCAAGCAGCCCTCACATCTCGTAAGTCCGGACTTGACCGATGAGGGGACTGCAAGCGGCAGCGCTGTGCTTGCAGAGCGCCAGCGTGACGGGGCTGCAGCCGTTGTGATCCAAGGGTGCCAGGTATTACCTTGGGGACAGCTGCCTACCTACTGGGACCTCGCGCGCAGACATTCTGGCGAGCGCTGAGCCCGAGCGCCGTGCTTGCACAGACGGGGACCGAGACCACAGTCGCTGCCAAAGGGCCAGGTGGCTCACCGGGAGAGCCAGGCTGCTGTAGCCCCGTCCCGCGCTGCCAGCCTGTCCCAGTCTCTGTTCCCTGCTGCCCTGCTCTCTGCGCAGCCATTGACGCAGCGTGGGCGTAAAACACTCGTTCTGAGTCGGGCGCTTTTTGCACCAGCCTTCAGTGGTATAAATGACTGTGCGCACAGCGTGCAAAGCCCTGGAAATCTCATCTAGTACCTTCACACAACAGGAATACCCAAGCAAACCCAATGCTACCTCTCCGTGTGTGAAAACCCTTGGTGTGACTATACACGCTCCTACCTCTGCTTGCCTTCTCCACGAACAGGCTGCCGTAGACTCTGCTGAAAGGGGAATATGTGGTGTATTTACAAGAGGGGAATTTTAAAGAGGGGAAGATAAATTGCAAGTACTTCTTCTAATAGGGAGTGATGACACTGTGTATTCTGCCCCATAGTTCTCTCCCCTGTGTTTTCAAGCGAAAGACAGCAGCTGCACCTTTTAGAGTATCTTGTGCTATCCAAGGGGAAGTCCACAGCAGCGCTGTCATTAGCCTGGTTTTCAAATGTTGCAGCTCAGAATTTATTTTTTAATACAGTGGCTCTCTGCAGCAGACCTCAGTTTTTGTTTAGTTTCTCTAAAGAGAGAAATGCTGGATTTAATTTTTGCCAATTTTTTCTGTCCCTCCTTTGTCCTATACACCAGGGAAGAGAGAGGAGATGTGGGGGGCAAGCCCTACCCTCCTTATTTTTTCTGATTCATCCAGTATAAAAATCCTTTGCATATGGTGGTCGCTTCCTTTAGAGCTTTTTTGCAGAAGACACTTCTCTCCCTGACCTCTGCTGAAGTTCAGTGGCAGCGCTAATGCTGGCTGCGAGGTTAAAACCAAACTCAAACCTTTTTCATCTCCATGCTGGTTTGTTCCTCCAGCTGAACTCTCCATTGGAAATCTGTCCCCCCACCAGAAAACCAGAAAAGTCGAAGCATGCCGGCCGCCTGCCCGCAGCACGTCACGCGCTATAAGCAAGCGGCTGCTTGTGGCAAAACTGCGTCGTTTTTAACACAGGGGGATTAAGGAGCACTGGGATTTGTTCTTTGTATACAATACTGTCCAGAACCTTAGCTTAGCGATTTTACCTCTGCCGTGAATTGTCGTAAGTTATAAAGGAGAGCTCGTGTGAGGGGGGGAAACTCAGCTAACTTCAGGCGCGAGCGTCTACAGTCAGGTGCCACAGCAAGAACAGTTTTGTACCTTTTCTCAGACTTCCCGCAGTCGGGAGTTTGTGGCACACGTTTCCCACCTCTGCCTCTTGGGAGCTTCCCAGGTTTGGCTCCTTTCCTGGAACAGGCCACAGATCTCACACGAGCAATGCCACATTGGCTGTGGTGGTGCCGTACGCTGCTTTACTTATACTCGGCGCTTGTAGCAGCAACCTACCCACAGAGATTTGCAAAAAAGACCTCAACGGTGTCCTGTCAAAGCGGTGACACAAACCTTGCCTTGTGCGCTCATCAGAGAGGATCGCTTGACTGATTGAGCAAATGTGAAAGGGAGAATGATGAGAACATTTGCACCGAAAGGGCATTTATCTCAGTATCGCCCAGTGAGTGCAGCGAGGACCTCACCTAAACTTTGATACTGTACGGGACCATTCGTCTCCATAACCTTGTGGTAAAGTCACATGCCCAAAACGATAACCCCATTTCTGCATAGCAAGAAAGCTTTGCCCACTTCACCTTCCTCAGCTGCAAGACTAGAGAAACAAAACCACAGTTGCACAAAGACCACCGAGATCCCCACCGGGTCCCTGAGGTGCTGCAGGCCACTTCTCACTGTAATGGGACCAACGTGACTCAAGAGCCGTAAAGGCACCTGCGCTACAGTAACGTGGCATTTCCACAGGCTTTGCTCTTATTCGTGGGTTTCCGTAGTTCAGCACCTGGAGAGGGGATGAGCAGAAGCTGTCAGTAACTTGCACTGATGTGGGCAATTTCAGTTTTAAGGCTTTGGGAATGAAACGTGCTTCTCCCAGCCCTGGCAAGGGCTAGAAGGGAATGACTTGCGTGGAAAATCCCTAGCAGTGCACAGGCTGCTTCTCTTCTGCAGCCAAATATTTTGATCGCTGGCAGTTGTGGGGAACTGAGAAAAGCAGCTGACACACGGAGACTGGAATAACTCTGAGGTGTGAGTTAGAGGGGAAGAGGGATCCCTGAACAAAAAGCACACAGGAACAGGCTTCCCAGGCATGCGCTTGACTGCTCAGTTACAGAAAAAGGCACCACTTTATCGCCCACCCCCAAATCTGGCTGCAATCGTATTGCAGGAGACCTGTACAAAGGTCCCCCTGCGCACGCACTCCCATCCCAGATCAGGCAGCCACCCGCTTCCAGTCCTAGAAATGGGAATCGCAGCAGAGCCCCCAACAGCCCCAGCTTGTCACGTTCAGTGCACCTCCTGCAGCTCCGGTCCCTGCCCTTCCTGTCTCAGCCCGGACTCTGACCTTTCATCCTCTTTTATTTGTCTCCAACTCATCTCTGTCCGCTCCCACCCACACTCGCTGCTCTGCTCGGAGATGCACATGAGAGGACGCCTCAGACACAGCTCAGCGTACGCTTCCCCTGCCCGCGGCAAGTGGCTTCCAGTAAGAGCCCTACCTGCTGACTTATCAGCAATCAGATGGTGCCTGATAGCGGCACTCAGCCTCCGCACCTCCGGCTCCGAATGCAAGGTGATGCTGGAAACCGTTCAGCAGCCAAAGCCATTGAAGACCATGCACGGCCTGCCCATCCGCCATCGTCAGTGGCGCTGGCGTGGCTCCAGGCAGCGCTCTGACGCTCGGGCCAGCAAACCCAGCCATTTCCCATCATTTCCTTTTTGCCTTTAAAGCTGGAACCTTCCAGCCTCTCCCCAGTGAAGTTACCCATTCTAAAACATGTTCTCTTTGGGATTTTCAGCACAGTCACCCGCACGTCCTGAGCAGCCTGGTTCGGTCGCTGTACCAAATTGCAAAGGTGTTTGGTTTGTTTTTTTTTCTGGGGAGATTCAAGGATCTGGCCCTGACCAATACATCACAGGTTTCTGTGTGCGTTGGTAACTCTTGACGCAGGGTCCATGTACGGACTAGGCAGGAAATAATTTTCAAACCAGGGAGAAGGCAAACTGGGAGGGATTTCTAAAGGCTTTTGTCTTTAGCAGCAATCTCCAGTCTCCAGAACCATACCCTAAACCGGAAAAATAATTGTTCTCTGGAAATAGAAATGCTCCCCACCAAAGGCTTACCCCAGCCCCACCATTAAGTTAGGGGAAGATAGTCACATGCGTTTGAGGTTTTGGGCAGGGAGGAGGACTCTCGGCCCCTGAGAGGACCAGCTCTCGCCCGTTCGGGGGGAAGCACTGTGGCATCACACCACAGTGGCAGCACCACTGGATGCAGAGCCAGTGGGGAACAGGACTGTGACGAGACCAAGAGTAGCTTGGTCAGACCAAAGTCTGCCTGGCTCGACAGTCTTTCTAGCAGTAGCCAAAGGCAGAGGCTCTGGGAAGAGGGCAAGAACTGGGCAAGCTTATTCCGCGCTTTCCCCAAGGGCTCGCTCACCCTCCTGCCATCCACTGCTCGGGGACTGCCTGAGCCAGCTGCCTGCTCCGCACGTTCAGTAACGCTCCGTAGACTTCTTCCCCATCAACACGCCTGGGCTCCCCTTGGAGCCATGCAGACGGTTTCAGCAGCACAGCAGTTCGGGATGAGTGCTGCCACTGCGATGTCACCTCTTTATCCCAGACAGTCGCATGCGGAAGCACCCAGCGCGTCACCCAGGGAAGGCTGCCTGAGAGAGAGGAAACATAAATCACCCTTCTCTAGCTAGGCACAACGCAGGGCTCAAGGCTGGTCACAGTCATTTGGCTTAGCAGCACGAGGGAGAGCAAAAACCCCCCAAATCAGCTCTAAAACTGATTAAAGCAGGGCTAGTATTTTTAGATGGGAACTTTGGCTGACGAGGGAAGGAGCAGCAGGTGCAAACGGCTACAGCTGGCAGTGAAAGGTATGAAAGCAGCGAGCAGAGACTTCCGCTGTGGTTGGCACTGAAGTCTCGGCGCTGGTCTCCAGAGAGGGTGTGGGTGGGGGAGCTCAGGGTAACTGCTGCCGAGCGCTTCCCAGTCATCACTAATTTCTCAGCTTGCCACAAGCCTCCTGTGCCGCTCTCTTTTTCTGCCCGTCTGCATCCGAGCCCTTTGCTTTTGTGAACGCCCAGCTCCTGCAAGGTGCCTGAGGCCAGCCGGAGCGTGCCCCCTGTCCGGGGGGCTCGTCCCAAGCACGACTGCAGCTTTCTGGCACTCGGAACTTGTGCGCAGTCTCAGCCCAAATACAGGCTGCTCACCTGGCAAGGAACTCCAGCAGGCCAAGTGCGAATCACATCTGCAGCGTCTCTATCGCACTTTTCTTACTGGGTATCAGCCCGGGGTCCGAGTGGTGTTTTCAGATTCCCTTTCCTGCTCTGGCTGCCATTAATTCAGAACCGCAAGGTTTACCAACAGAACAGGTTTCTCTCTCCTGCATCCATCCCCATAGCTATAGCACCACGGTGCCTCAGAGGCGTTCCTCCAGTTATGTTTGAACAGCTGCCCCACGCTTTTCTCTGAGCACGTGGAAAGCGATCCGAAGCACGGCTGCTACTGTCCCCCCCTCGCCTTGCTCTGCCCCAGGCAGCTCTGAGGTCTCCGAGGAGGAGAGGCAGAAGGGGACAGGATCGGTGCACATAACTTGAGGCAGACATGTGCTCTGCGGTGAATCCTACCACCTTCCTACCTGACAGCAGACAGCAGGCAGGACAGGGACAGTCAGTGTCGGAAACGGATGGAAAGATCGGGAAAGCTGGTAGAGGAGGGTTCCGTGCCGTGTGAGGAAGCAAAAGGCACGAGCAGGTAACTCAGCAAGAAACAGAAGATGAAACTGGTCATCTGTCTGGACGCCAGAACATCCCCAAATATGCTAGTTAACAATTACAGACTGAGCAGCCCTTGCTGTCAGAGATCGGGACAACCCTCTCCACGTGGTGCCGGTCCACCTCCCAGGACCTGGCACCAGAGTCATCATGCTGCAGACAGGCAGCACCTCCTCCTGACGCAGGCGGGCCGCGGGGATGCTCCGCTCCAGGTCTGCCAGGTGCAGCTGAGGGACTGGGTTCTCGTGTTCAGAAACTCCCCTCCGATAACCAGACTCTCTCTGTTCCCCAGAGCCAGGTGGAGCTGAGTGGTTACTACGAAGCCGAGAACACCACCCCTTCTTTGGAGGGCTACTTTTGCTTCAACCCAGCCTCATCTGTGGTCGGCAACCAGACAGACCCCTTCAGAAGGGTCTTCATGCCCCTCATTTATCTGCTGATGTTTGTGTTGGGGACTGTGGGCAACGCCCTGGTCCTGGTCATTTTAGAGAGGTTCAAGCGCTCTCGCACTACCACGGAAAACTTCCTCTTCCACCTCACCCTGGCCAACCTGGCACTGTTGCTCACCTTCCCCTTCAGCGTGGTGGAGAGCTTGGCCGGGTGGGTATTTGGGAAGTTCCTCTGCAAGATCCTCAGTGCTGTCCACAAGATCAATTTCTACTGCAGTAGCATGCTGCTAGGGTGCATCGCGGTGGACCGCTACCTGGCCATTGTCTATGCAATCCACACCTACCGCAAACGCAGAGCTCGCTCCATCCACCTCACCTGCATGGCTGTGTGGCTCTGCTCGCTGCTTTTGACCTTACCCGATCTCATCTTCATGGAAGTCTGGACAGACGACAGCAACCGCAGCATTTGCTATTTTCCAGAGGTTGGGATCGACGGCAACAACGTCTGGCTGGCGACCCGCTTCCTCTACCACACTGTGGGCTTCTTTGTGCCCCTGCTGGTCATGTGTTACTGCTACACGGCCATCGTCCGGGCTCTGTGTCAGTCCCAGCGCCTGCAGAGGCAAAAAGCTGTCCGCGTGGCCATCCTGGTCACAGGCGTCTTCCTGCTCTGCTGGAGCCCGTACCACATCGTCATCTTCCTGAACACGCTTACTAAGCTAGAAGCCTTCACCAAGAACTGCCTCCTGGAAGACCAGCTGGACACAGCCATCATGGTGACAGAGGCCATCGGCTTCACGCACTGCTGCCTCAACCCCATCCTCTATGCCTTCATTGGAGTCAAGTTCCGTAACGACTTCTTCCGGATCCTGCAGGAGCTCGGCTGCATAAGCCAGGAGACCCTGCAGGAGATCCTGGAGGTGACGAGGAAGGGCAGCGGGATTGAGTCTGACAACACCACCTCTATCTCCACTTTCTAGCTGGGAAAGGCTGCCTGCAGGGCAGAACTGGCCTGGGGCTTGCCTTCTCAGTGGCACACGTGCTGTGGCCTCAGTCCCAAGTTTCACAAGCGTCCCCACCACTTTCCTTATGCCTCAGGAAACTCAAGTCTGGTAGCTACCAAACACCCAAATCTCACCAGATACCTTCCCTGGCTCTTTCTGGTTCTCACAGCTGTAGTAATAATCCATTTGGCAGCTGTTGGCAAGCGCTGGCTGTCCGACGGTCACTCTGGCAGGGCCGGATGAACCCGAGTGGGTTGAACCTGACGTTTCCACCTCTCCCACGAAAAACTGACTGCAGGCGTCCTGTGCACGGAGCCGAGCATGAGACTAGGGTGCCGGGGGCAAGGAAAAAAGTGCAGCTGAGTAACTGTGGAGTTGCGTCAGTGAGCAAGGACTGAGGACAAAAGCTAAGCAGGTCTCCGTTCACCGGCTCAGGTTGGTAGAGACACGCCCGAAAGAAGCAGCAGGACTCAATGGCCACAGCAGCTTGAATGAGAGATGCAGGTAGGACCGGCGGGGGGTGCAGAGCTCACTCCAATAGCGTGGGCACGCAGTGCTGGGTGGTCTCTGGCTGCAATATTGTTCCTCCTGCTGCGTGACATCCCCCTGGCCAGCCACGGCACATTGATTTTTCCCAACTTGGCTTGCGCCAGGAGGTCCTGCCATGGACTCAGAGATTTGACTGTCGCAGATTCTTTTCCTGACATCAACTGCATCCTTTCCTGCTCACTTGATCTGTTTTACTGCTGTTAAGACCTCCAGTGAGTGACTGCTGAACTGAATGCCTGACTGTGTAAAAGCTTTCCTTTAACGAAGAAAGCTGCCTGGAGAGATGGCTTCTATCTTGTGACTGAGCACAGGGGAGATGAACCACACAGCTTTGTGAGGCTGAAGGTGCAACTTTTTTTTTTGCAGCTAGTTCTACGGCACTTTGTGTGTGCCAAGAGCAAGGAGACCCATTGCCCCAGAGTAAGGAAAAGAGCTTGTTTGCGTAATTTCTGTTTGTTTTTAGCAGGCTGAGAGGGAACGTAGCGTTTTGCTTTGCAGTGTGCTTTCTGACATTTTTGCTCCCCCTGCATCTACGGGGCTTTCAGAGGTTTAGTGCATCCAGGTTTATACAGAACAAACCTGGGTGCTGATCTTGCCCTGAACCATGAGTATCCAGCAACTGCTCAGATCAGGGCTGCTTGGTAAAAATTTGGTCCAAAATAAGAGGAGCCGCTTTCACCACCATTAAAAATTGCACCGCAAGCTGGCATGCGGGGCAGCCCTAACAGACTCGTGCAGCCTGCTGCTTCCTAGTCGGTCATGTCACAGTATAACGTCGCAGCACGTACACAGCGTTGCTCCATGATGTTTCTCTTGCAAGCTAAGCAGCGCCGTAGCCTGAACTGTACGAGGGCCATAAGTACCAACTGTCACACAAGCACAACCCTAATCACGAGCGCACTTTAAAATCCGCTCTACCATTCACCTCACTTTTTAAGCAAAGTCGGAACAACGTCAGTTCTCCTGCTGCAGCACGAATTTTGTGCTAAACTCACTTCTGAAGTTCAACCCGCTAACAAAGGGCTCGGTTGCAGCTGAACTTCACCGTACCCAAGTGCCCCGCTAAAAAGACCGGTCGTTATGGAAGGGGTCACATTACACCGGTCCACCTCAGGCAGAGATCTCAATAGCTCATTCGCAAATTGTGACTCAAGGAGAAAACTCCCCAGGCATAAAGCTTTTTATACAAAGAGCAGTCCACCATTTCCTGCAGTGCTGCATCTTCAAAGCTGAAACCTGCAGGTAATGGCGACCGTGGTTGTCCAAGCACGTACGTGCAGCAGAGGAAGAGCAGCTCTCTGACACCAGGCCGTCGCTATCTCCACGGCTGTACTGGTGAGGAACCCTGCTGCAGACGCATTGTAAACACCTCCCCAGCCCGGGTTCTGGTGGGAACTGTGTGTCTACACAAAAATGTTACTGAAGAAATGAACAGTCAGACTGTAAAATTCATAGAGCATTCACAAGGTAAAAAGAAAACCTGCACGCAAAATAAGGGTGAACAGATTACACATCTATTGTTACTATAGTTTTTAGTACTGGTATGTTGGTAAACTTTTAGAAAGTTTTGACGTGAGCTGTTAAATAAACAGTTAAATAAAATACCGTCTTCTCATGTATAGCACTTGCAAGCAGCCGTCTGCAGTTATGTCACTTTTGCACGAGAAATGCATCAGAGGGTGCTAAGACGGTTGATGGCACCTTTCTGACAAGCGTTGCTGTTCACACATGGAGATCACAGGGCTCATAAGAGCAGCTTGCTCAGATTTCCCTTCACCGGTGCCACAGAAGGCTCTGCTGTGTTCAGAGTCAGTCCAGACCTATGTTAGCTCCCTGCTTCACAGAGCCTCTTCCACCGACTGCAGCACCTCCTGCCCCAGTTTTACAGCAGCTGCTAACCTGAGCGGAAAGCTGCCCTCCCACCCGCCTTCGGCTCAGCCGGCCTGGGGAAGGCTTGGCTCGGAGCTGGCAGACCCTTCCCCAAAGAGCGGACATTGCTCCTCCCGCAGCTGACTGCAGCCAGCCTGCTGAATGGCGATGAGAAGAAAGCCAGAGGAACTCTCCTTCACCGCAGAGGAAGCTGGGCTTTCCACTCAGCAAAATCCTCCCCGACTCTCCGAGGTTTGCATGGCCGTCACATGCCTTGGCGCAGAGAGCAGGCTTCCCCGCTAAGCGCTCACGCTGCCAGAGCTGCCCCTGGACACCGCAGCCCTCAGTCAGACCTTCAGGCTGCCCCAGGGAGCTCTGCTCGGCCCCCAGCCCACCACTACCGAGTGAGGCAGACGGGCTCTGCTCCCGCCAGGAAGGGGGACTAAGGGCCGAGGGGAGCTCCGAGGCGGCTGCTGCAGGCAGCGGGGAGGTGGCGCCCAGGCAAGGCCACGTCACTACCATCCACAGCGCACACTCGTGTGACCCCGGCCCCGGGCTCTGCTCTGCAAAAAGGGCTGGAGCAGACAACCCAGAGAAAGCCCTAGTCCCTACTGAAGGCAACGCCAAAGAAGGGGACACAAAGAACCCCACAACAGCACGCTGCTCTGCATGTCCTACGGGGTGACAGAGTCTCCCAGGAGACAGAGCTGGGGTGTTTCAGCAGAGCATCCTGCTACACACGCGCAGCGATCACAGGGCCGTGGCAGGCAGCGGGGCGTGCACCGACGAGCAGCAGTCAGAGAATGCATGAATGAGCGCGTGCCTGGGAGCGCTGCAGAGAAGGGGCTCTCCCCACGCCCTCGCACCCCTCCTAGCAGCTTTAGCACCCCCTTCCCCGCTGTGACTCATGCACAGTTTCATTTTCCTTATCAAAAAGACGACCTGCTTCCTCACCCCGATCTCCCAAAACCAAGCAGATGCTTAAGCACTTCAGCATCTGTACTGCTGCCTGCTGTGTCATCCTTATTTTGAGCACAGGTGGCTCTGGACATATGACACCACAGCCACCGAGGCCCGTGAGCTTGGGCCTTGGGCAGCATGCCACGTGCGCCGCCCTGGCCCTGTGCACAGACGGCAGCACGATCCCTTTCTCTCTCTGAGCCCCCAGAACCGGCCTCTCGCCCCGCTGCCGTCACAGCGTGCTCTGCATTTGCCCCGGCTCCCCACAAGCATGCAGCAGCTATGGCACACGCGAGCTTTGCCAGGCCACGAGATGCACAGAACAAGGGGGAACCGTGGGGCTCCAGGCACCAGCGGACAGCTTGGGCAGCAAGTCCCTGCTGCAGGCCACCTCTCCACTCTGCAGTCCTGCCAAGGACTTCAGGTGTCCAAGGTGGCCCTTTTTTTTTTCCAGCCCCACGCGTGCCCCTCCAGCTGCCTGGGAGGACTGTCCTGTCCCACGTCCTGCGAAGGCAGCTCCCCAGTCCCAGCCCAGCTTCCACTGCCTTGGGGCAGGGGCACACGCAGGTCTACGCCAAGGGCAGGTATCCCAGCTCCCTTAAGGAGCTCACAGCCATCTCACGAAGGGCAAGAGCTTCTCTTCGGACAGGGGCACACAGCAACCACCTCGAAGTCGCAGGAGATGGGACCTGCAGCACTGGAAGCCGCACTCGCAGGTCAGCTGGCAGGCCCCTCTCCCTTACCTACCCCTGCCTGGGGACCTGCAGCTCTCCTGCCAGGCACGAGTGGCTGGGAGCAGATGTGCTCAGGAACCGCCACAGAGGCGGGGACCGGCAGCAGGCAGGAGGGGAAAATGAGGCTGTTTGCCTCGTGACTGTTACTTGTTTGCAAGCAGCTAGAAAAGATGGTCCATTTCAAGCCGCAGGAGCTAGAGGATGGGCCGGCATGGCAGAGGGTGGGAAAGAACAGCCAGCACAGCCTGGACTTAGGCAGCAAAATCCATGCTACGGTAACGAACCACTGCGAGCTGCGTGGCTGGGTCTCGTTCGATGTCGGGGAGCCAGCACGCAAGTGTCCAAGGAGGGCCAAGTCGCCCACCCCGCACAGAGCGCAGCAGGCGCTGAACAGCTGACCCCGCTCCCAGAGGGGGCTGCCCGAATTTCGTAGGAAGAAAACCGCAACTGCAGCCAAGCCTCAGCGTACCTTAGGCACAGATGACTCGTGCAATCCTGAAGAGCTCCTCTCCTCTCAACCAGAGCCCCCACCTGACATAAGGTATTTATAGTGGGGCCAGCTGAGCGCCTCTGATCAGCCCCAGCCGGCCACAGGTGATGCTGGCTGAGCTCCCGGAGGCTGGGCTGAGCACACCTGCTTGCAGCCCAGCAGAAAACCCCGCAGCTCACTCAAGACAGGCACAGGGTCGGGTTTTGAAATTTGTCTTTTTAATAAAAAGGCACCTATAAAACAGGTCAATACATTACAGGCAGCACAGATACCCAAAAACAAGCCTAAAAATTGTTTCAAATAAAAACCAATAAGATGTCTTCACATATTGTATTTATATATTTATATTTATATATATATTTATATAATGGTAC